GGAGGAGGCTACAATGCTTGATAAGAAATGTACTCATTATCTTGCCCATGTAATTGTAACCCCTCTGTACAGTATTTTCACAATAAAAATATTTTAAAAAGTTCACAATATCAAAAAATAAAATTGGCATGGTGGTGTATACCTATGATTCACACTGGATAGGAGGTGAAGTAGAAGGATCTTAGTCCAGGCTAGCTCAGGAAAACCATTGAGACTCTATCTGGAAAAAACACTAAAGCTAAAAGCAGCCAACGGAGGTGCCTTAAATAAAGAACACTTGAATAACCAATTCAAGACCCTGAGTTCAAACCCCAGTATCACACATACTCATATACACATACATACACTTAAGTATGTCTATAGATATATATATAGATTAAAAGAATATATATATATAAATATTTCACTCATTTCAACTCCTCCCACCCATCATTTACTTTTCTGTTCAAGCCAGTATGAAGCTGCTATCAAAATTATAACGGAACTAGTTCAAGCTTCTGTTCTCATGACCACACTGCCTATGTAAACAGCATCAAGGAGATTATAGGTTCACTTATTATGAATTATCGATTATAATTACTCACAAAGATTATAATTACAATCGATTATAATTACTCACAAAGACTAAAAAAATCCAGAAGACATTCAATTCTCCCAAAGGTCAGGTAGAAGGCAAAAAATTGCAGAATTTCAGAAAGACAAACTGTCATTCTGGTAGCTATGCCAGAGTGCTTATGATGTGTTCATGATTTTAAGTGTTTCATGTGCATTGTCTCATGTAATCCTCAAAACAAGTGTACAAAGTAGTTACAAATTCAATGTTAACATTAAGTCAGGCTGAAAGAGAGAAAGAAGTATGACCTGCTTTAAGTTGCTTTTACTATTAAGTAAAAAAAGTGGTGTGTCAAAACCAAGCAATCTACTGGTTTGTGGTAGAGAATAAAAATCAAAAACAGGACACTAATATGGTGATACTCCTATTTTTTTATAATATGCAAATACCCCTAACAAAATTATTTTGAAAAAATTACTTTAAAAGATTTACCAATTACTTTGAAAAAATGAATTGCTTAGCAGAACCACTATAGTTATTGAAAGACATATTGAAAATGAATCAAACTTATAGATGAAAGGTTTATTTATTTAAATACTGTCCTTCAAAGACCAAAGGTAGTAGAGAATAGGCTTTATATATATGAACATATATATGAAGCACTCAGTATCTTGACTACATTATTCTCCCCAAAAGCTAGCTGCTTCCAAACTTGATTTAATATTCTGCATATTTTCTCTACGCTGTTTGGTAAATACATTAGCTTCTCCTTTCTGCAATCGACGTCTGGCAGCTGATTTCTGCTGTTTCGTCAGGTGACGTTTCACCTTCAGTTTTACCAGTTCCTGGAAAGATTTGTAAAATGGTCATCATTTGGAAATGGGCAGAAATTCACTTAAAACAAAAAATTACATTATTAATTTCTTTCAAGTAGATCTGTTAAGAAGCACAAAATTTAAAAATTCCTGTATGACCCCCCCCAAAAAAACAGAAGCTGATATAAAATTCAAGAAGCCAAGTTCCTAGCAGAAATTACAAAGATTACACAGCAGAAAATGACAGCACAAATTAACAATTGTTTAAACAAACCACTACATTGCCCCCTAGTGTCAATCATGAAAGCTGAAGAAAAAGCTGGAGGATTGAAGCTATTCCTGTTTTCTAGGTAAAAATGGACATGATTTTGTAACAAAAACAAAAAATATATATATTTTCGATAGCATTAGCTATTGATAACATATGTAAGAATGCTTTAACAACTTAAGCTGTATAAATGACCTGAAGGTAGCAGGTAGTCACAGACTACTGTCCATATACTTTTCTAAATATGTAACATGCTTTGTCAAGGGCTGGAGATGTGGCTCAAGTGGTAGAGAACACCTAATGAACTTTACAACTTTGGTGCAGGGGGGGAGAGGGGTAGAGGTTTGGGTGGGGGAGCGGGGGGGGGGGATGGTGGGAAGGGATGGGAAGGGGAAACAAAGGAGGAGGCTACAATGCTTGATAAGAAATGTACTCATTATCTTGCCCATGTAATTGTAACCCCTCTGTACAGTATTTTCACAATAAAACAAAAAGTGCACAGTGCTGAGTTCAAACTCTAGTTCCCCCAACCATCAAAGACAATAAATTCAAATGATTTGTAACAAACAAACAAATGATTTGTAACAAACAAACAAAGTCAAATGACTTTGAAATCTGAAATATTCTGTTTGTAATAACCATTTCCTTCTCCATTAAGAAAAGAGTTTATAAATGATGAGTCTGGCTCAATGGCAATGACTGCTTAGTCATTTGAAGACGTGGGTTTGATACCAGCAACAAAAATTACCAACAAATTGGAATTATAAAATATTTCAAGGGGGAAAAGAGATTTCACAAAATCTGTCGTACAGTTTCCAAAAAAAAAGTCATCAAGTCAATAGGGGTAACAATGTAAAGTTTTTCACTTTTTTTTCTCTTTAAATACTGGGAATTAAACCCAGCCCCCATGTATACCAGGAGAAGTGCTCTACCATTTGGGCTACACTTTTAGCTCCTCCTTAAAACAAAACAAAAACCCTCAGTTTTGGAGATAGGGTCTTCATACCTTTGTCCCAGTTAGCCTCAAGCTCATGATCCTCTGCCTCCCCAGTAACTGGGATTACAGGTGTGTACACCTAACTCTCTTGAGGAAAAAAAAAAGTTGACAAAAACCTCAAGAGAAGTCAGGTGAGATGAAATATGTCTGTTAATACTGGCATTCAGGAGGCTAAGGCCTGAGGATTCCAAATTGGAGGTCTTCCTGGGGTACACAAAGAGACTCGTCTCAAAAATAACTCTTTATTTAAGAGTAGCGATAAAGATTTTTTTTCAATGATCAGAAAAAAATCCTCATGCTGGGCTGAAGGGATCTTTTTTTTCTCCCTGTTTAGAAGGTGAATTTATATTTTATAATGTAATTCATAAAACTCAAGGTATAAGAGTTAAAGACTTGGCTCACTCTAAAACTTTTCAGTTCATGTCTCTGGCTGTAAGAACAACAAATAAAACATGAAAACGCAATTTTATCCTTGCCTTACTGTCATCATTTTCATATACAAAGGAAAACAAATTAGAATTTAAGAAAACAGAATGAATTAAAACTCTAACTTTAATCACTAATTTTATACCATTGTAATGAGGTAAAACTTTGTTTTGATTCTGAGAAATCAAAAAATAAATCCAGTAATAAGTGAAAATATGGGCCAAGAATGGGCATGTAACTAACTGTGAGAAATACATACAAAAAGATAGGTTGATGGTATTTAAGAGGGGATTTTATTAGGGAATAGACCAGTTCTTATGCTTCTAAACAGACACTACTACTTGAGCTATGTCAGAGTCAGTTCTGCTTTTTTGTTTTCAGAGAGTCTCATGGCTTTGTCCAGACTGGTATCAAAGCACAATCCTAGCTGTCTGCCAATCACCTGGGATTAAAGGCATTTAATTATCACCATGCCCTGCAATAGATTTTTTTCTTTAACGTAAATACTTCACAGATTTCAATTTTATCTTCAGAAAAATCAAGTAAATTACTAGACTCTCAGGAAAGAGTATATGAAAGTCAACAACATTTCTAAAATCTCATGTATTGGTCTGACATATTGTAAACGTTTCTGCTAGCAAGTGAAGGTTCCAGAACTAAAAGTGGGATGCATTACAATTTTACCTGTGCTGTTATTTTATCTTGTTTTTGACAGATATTTTTTATACGAAATAGAAGGAAAAAGCCCAAAACACTAATTATGTAATTTTAATATTAAAAGACGTTGCCTTTTCTTCCCTTTCCTTCTCTTCTTTTCCTCCCCACCCTCTTCCTTTTCTTTCTTGGTGTGTGTGTGTGTGTGTGTGTGTGTGTGTTGTGGTGTGTGTGTGTGTGTGCTAGCTCTGGGTCCTGAACTCAGGGGCCTTTTCTTCCCTTTCCTTCTCTTCTTTTCCTCCCCATCCCCTTCCTTTTCTTTCTTGGTGTGTGTGTGTGTGTGTGTTGTGGTGTGTGTGTTGTGGTGTGTGTGTGTTGTGGTGTGTGTGTATTGTGGGTGTGTGTGTGTGTTGTGGTGTGTGTGTGTGTTGTGGTG